CACACACAGACATTATACAATCACATGACTAGCATACATAGGATTAGCAGACAGTGAGCTTCTATTCAACACCCCACATGGCCCCCTTTTATACCATTTCTGGGGCCAACACCCCCACCTGTGGGTGCAGCAGTGATCTGGCTGCTCCCCTCAAATTCTGTAACGTGACAAGCAGTAGTGTGGATAGTCTGCTGCTGCTATTTCAAAATAATGACTCCCCAGAGTCATTCGAACTAATTATTTCCAAATAGCTATTTCTGGAGTTATTCGTTCAGAATAAGTTATTATGAAATAATTTCCTTGTGTAGACATGCCCACAATGAGCCATAGGAGAAACATGTCCCAATTAGAATATAGGCAACAGCAGCTCTTGTGAGTCATGAAAACTGTAAGGCTATGTGATTACTTGTGTGACCCTGGACTCAATCTTAGGCAAGTAACATCTCACAAGCGGCAATGGTGCGATTTATTTGGCCCAGTAAAATTCCATGCACAGGGTAGAGTATTACAAATGTGAAATCCCCAACCTGTCTTCATTTCCTGTTTCGTTTCTCTGGATTGGCTTTCCCACAAAAATGCTCTTAACAAGATCTGCTGATGCCCAAAGAATTTGAGTGACTCCTGAAAAGACTTTGGCAAGCTAATAATCTATTCTCTCATCGCTGAAGACTCGGATTTTGACAGAGTTCAAAGAGGAACTTATGAGATTCCTTTCTAGCTTTTCAAAGCCTGATTTGAACTTAATCATCTTCACGAGTTTTCTGTCAACTGCAAATTTGACCACCTCACATTTTACCCCTTTCCCCAGATCATTTATGAATATGTTGAAGAGGATTTGCCATGTGCTGGTTTCAGAGGTTCAGGAGCAGTTAGTGGACAGATCAGTGGGTGGAGGGTGGGACAGTTGTCTGGACTTCTGGCTTCTATTCCCAACTCTGGCACTGACTCACTGCATAGGCTAGGGCAAATCACTTTGCTCTGGCATGGCTCATCTGTCCATCCAGGACAGGGGGACAATGTTGCCTCTCAACCCAGCTAAGCTGCTTCTAGAGGTGGGGAACCAAAGTACCAAGCGAAGCATATTTTCTACTCATCATGGCTCATCTTCTGCCCCTCAGAAGTGGGTGCCCTGGGGTTCCAGATAAGATGCAAGGTATGTGGGTCAATAGCCGGCTCATGGAAGTGGGGCTGGAGTTTATCTGCCTCCCAGTGAGTCAGCTCACAGAAGTGGGGCTGGAGTTTATCTGCCTCCCAGTGAGCTACCGAAGCTACCCTGGACTGTGCCCAGAATCCTGCCTTCCCAGCTAACACCGAGGCATATCCTGCTGCCTCTCTCAACTGTTGTCTTTCTGCTCACAGGCCGGGCCTAGGGCAAAGGGCCTGGGACCTTCTGAAAGTATGCCTGTGAGGTTGGTTCTAGAGTGGCCTAGGGGATAGGGCATTTGCCTTGGGGAAAGCAGAGTTGGTAGTTCAAATCCTGTACCTGCTGCAGGGACCCTGTCTGCCCTCAGGCAGGAGGACCAAAAGGGAGTTGAAAGCTAAATAACAAAGCCAGGCAAGGGGGTATGCCTAGACTACAGGGTTTTGTCGACAGATACTGTCGACAAAGAGCGTCTAGACTACATCCAGTTCTGTCGACAAAGCAAGCCGCTTTGTTGACATAACAGTGTGGACGCAAAGGACAGTGTAGATGCAATAATGCTTTCTATCGACAGAACTCTGTCGACAAAAGGCGTTATTCCTCGTAGAATGAGGTTTACATACGTCGACAAAACTGCTGAGTTTTGTCGATGTTATGTCGACATAACTCAAATACAGTGTGGACACAGGTATAGTTTTGTTGACAAAAGTCCAGGAAGGTCTGTTCCCTCAGGGCTTCATAGCTGAGCTGCAGGGCCCACAAGGTGCATGGTACATGACCCCCACTTTCCCTGCCTGCCTTACAACCCTGCTCCTAACCTTCAGCAGTATTTACATCACAGCCAGGCTTCCCTCTCTGCTCTGGAACGGCTTGTAGCACCAAGGGCTGCATCCTCCCTGCCCTTGCTGCAGGTTCCTTGTGAGACTGCAGACACGCCAGTCCTGGAGCATGGGCGATGTGGAAATGATCCAGCAAGTGACACAGAGGTGAGGGGTGAGTCTTAGGGGGCCTAGTTACATAAGTTGGTAGACCACTAAGGGAAGTTATGGAGCAATGGAAAAGTTGGGGCTGGACCTCAGGGATCCACGCAATGCACAGTCAACCTGTGGAACTCCTTGCCAGAGGATGTTGTGAAAGTCAGGACTGTAACAGGGTTTAACCAGGAAGGGTAGGAATGTTGTCCCTAGCCCCTGTTTCTCAGAGACTGAAAATGGGGGACAGGGAAGGGATCACATGAAGGTTTAACCAGGAAGGGTAAGAATGTTGTCCCTAGCCCCTGTTTGTCAGAGACTGAGAATGGGGGACAGGGAAGGGATCACATGAGGATTCCCTGTTCTGTTCATTCCCTCAGTGGGCAGCTGGCATTGGCCACTGTTGGAGGAAGAAAGGACACTGGGCCTCTGGTCTCACCTGCTATGGATTTTTTATGTTCCTTATCCAGATCTCTGCAGTTAGAAAAGTGCACACCAATTCAATGGACCTCTGGTCTGACCTGCTATGGATTTTTTATGTTCCTTATCCAGATCTCTGCAGTTAGAAAAGTGCACACCAAATCAGTTAATGAGTTTTATACAGTTTGCATCCCGAGTATACCAGGCTGACAAAGCGCAGTGCACTCAGGAAATGCTTTAATGGTTTTTTGACAGCCTAGTAAGCAATTCAGGGAAGGGAGCCCAACACCATGTTACCACACCACTCTGTTCGGAGCTGGGTCTGAGCACCAGAACACTAGGAGAGAACTTTCATCCCTTTGTGACCAAGCAGGCGCAGGATCCTGCCCCTTATCTGTTTGGTCCTCACCCCATAGATGATGGGGTTTAGTGTAGGGGGCACAAGGAGGTACATGTTGGCAATAAGAATGTGGAAATGCAGGGGCATATTCTGGCCAAACCGGTGCATGAGAGAAGACACGAGACCTGGAATGTAAAAGGCTAAGATGACACCAATGTGGGACCCGCAGGTCCCAAAGGTCTTGAGCCGGGCGTCCTTCGTGGGGAGGCTGAAGATGGACCTGAGGATCTGGGTATAAGACACAGCAATAAAAAACACGTCCAGCCCCATCACACAGAACATCACAAAGAGGCCGTAGTAACTGCTGATTTGGGTGTTGCCACAGGCCAATTTCACCACGGCCATGTGCTCACAGTGAGTATGGGGTATGATGTTGGTTCTGCAATACGGCCACCTCCTCACCAAGAGGACACAGGGCAGCACTAGCATGCTGCTGCGTAGCACCACACCCAGGCCCATCTTGGCCACCACGGGGTTAGTCAGGATGGTGGAATGTCTCAGGGGATGGCAGATGGCCACGTAGCGATCAAACGCCATGGCCACGCAGATCCCAGATTCCATCACGAAGAAGCAGTGAATGAAGAACAGCTGGGTGAGGCAGGCATTGAAATCGATCTCCCTGGAACTGAACCAGAAGATGCTCAGCGTTTTGGGCAGAATGGATGTGGACAGGACTATGTCAGTGATGGCCAACATGCAGAGGAAATAGAACATGGGCTCATGGAGGCTCGGCTCCCTCTTCACAATGAACAGAATGGTGAAATTCCCCAAAACAGCTATTGTGTACATGGCTGCAAAGGGGATGGAGATCCAGACATGGGCTGTCTCTAAGCCAGGAATGGCCAGCAGGATGAAGGTGGGTTGATGAAGTCGCTTGTGTTGGACTCTGACATGGATTAGGAAAGAAGATGTCCAACTCTGAGGCAGAACTGTGTCCCCTGAATGTGTCGTGTGTTCCGCTGACTTCTTGTGTGTATCCAGGATCAACAGTTATGGTCACAGTCAAAATGCAGAAATGCCTGGATGAAGAAACATTGTTGTTAAAAATCTCTGGGGATGGAGATTCCACTACCTCCTTAGGGAACCCACTCCAGTGCTTCCCCACTCCTCTAGTGAAAGAGTTTTTCCTAATATCCAACCTAGATCTCCCCCACTGTAAGTTGAGACCATTGCTCCTTGTTCTGCCATCCCTCGCTACTATGAACAGCCTCTCTCCGTCCTCTTTGGAACCTCCCCCCTCACTCTTCTCTTCTGCAGACTAAACAGACCCAAGTCCCTCAGCCTCTCCTCATAAGTCATATGCTCCAGCCCCCTAATCATTTTGGTTGCCCTCCGCTGGACCCTCTCCAATGCGTCCACATCCTTTTTGTAGTGGGGGGCCCAGAACTGGACACCCTACTCCAGATGTGGCCTCACCAGAGCCGAATAAAGGGGAATAATGACATCTCTGGATCTGCTGGTAATGCTCCTTCTAAGGCACCCTCATATGCCATTAGCCCTCTTGGCTAGAAGGGCACACTGTTGACTCGTATCCAGCTTCTCATCCACTGTAATCCCCAGGTCCTTTTCTGCAGAACTGTGACTTAGCCATTCGGTCCCCAGCCTATAACAATAATAATATATGTAGATACACCTATCTCATAGAACTGGAAGAGACCTTGAGAAGTCATCAAGTCCAGTGCCCCTCCCTCACAGCCGGACCAAGCACTATCCCTGACAGATTTGGTCTCTCAAGGATTAAACTCAAAATCCTGGGTTTAGTAGGCCAATGCTCAAACCACTGAGCTATTCCTCCTGCTTGGGAATGTTCTGTCCCAAGTGCAGAACTCTATACTTGTCTTTTGGCCCAATCCTCTAATCTGTCTAGGTCACTTTAGATCCTATCCCTGCCCTCCAGTGTATCTACCTCTCCCCCTAACTTAGCGTCCTCTGCAAACTTGTTGAGGGTGCAATCCATCCCCTCATCCAGGTCATTCATAAAGATGTTGAACAAAACAGGTCCAAGAACTGATCCTTGGGGCACTCAGCTAGAAACCGACTGCCAACCTGACTTCGAACCGTTGATCACTACCCATTGGGCCCAACAGTCTAGCCAGCTTTCTATCCATTTTACAGCCCATTTAAACCATCCATATTCCCTTAACTTTCCAGCAAAAATATCGTGGGAGATCGTATCAAAAGCTTTGCTAAAGTCAAGGTATATCACATCCACAGAGCCAGTTACCTCATCACAGAAGCTAATCATATTGGTCAGGCATGACTTCCCTTTGTGAATCCATGTTGACTATTCCTGATCACTTTCCCCTCTTCCAAGTACTTCACAATGGATTCCTTGAGGATCCCCTCCATGATTTTTCTGGGGACTGAGGTAAGGCTGAATGCTCTATAGTTCCCTGGATTGTCCTTCTTCCCTTTTTAAAAGATGGGCACTACATTTGCCTTTTTCCAGTCATCTGGGATCTCACCTGATCTCCACGAGTTTTCAAAGATAATGGCAATGACATTATCAAACTCCCTCAGTGCCCTCGGATGCATTAAATCTGGACCCATGGATTTGTGTATGTTTAGCTTTTCTAAATAGTTCCTAACTTATTCTTTCCCCACCAAGGACTGTCCACCTCCTTCCCATACTGCATTGCTTAATCCATTTGTCTGGAAGTTGACCTTGACCATGAAGACAGAGGAAATGAAAGCATTGAGTAGTTCAGCTTTTCCCACATCATCTGTCCCTAGGTTACCTCCCTCATCTAATAAGAGCCCCACACCCTCTCTGGTCACCCTCTTATTGCTAACATGCCTGTAGATAACCTTTCTTGTTATCCTTCACATCCCTTGCTAGCTGAAATTCCAATTATGCTTTCGCCTTCCTGATAACTCCCCTAGATTCTCGAGCAATATATTTATACTCCTCCCTAGTCATCTGTCCAAGTTTCCACTTCTTGTAAGCTTCCTCTTCGTGTTGTAGACAACAAACTCACCATAGAATCATAGAACACTAGAACTGGTTGGGATCTGAAGAGCTCATCAAGTCCAGTCCCCTGGCCTCACATCAGGACCAAGCACCCTCCAGATCATCCTTGACAGGTGTTTGTCCATCCTGCTCTTAAATATCTCCAGGGATAGAGATTCCACAACCTTCCTAGGCAATTTATTCCAATGTCTAACCACCCTGACATGTGGGAAGATTTTTCTAATTTCCAACCTCAACCTCTCTTGCTGCAATGTCAATTTTTCTCCCCCTCTTTGTAACACCCTCTTAGGTTCTTGAAAACCTCTATTATATATTCTTTTCTAAATTGAACAAGCACAGTTCTTTCAGTCTTCCCACATAGGTCACATTTTCTAGCCTGTTAATCATTTTTTGTTTGCTTCTCTCCCATGGGCTCCCAGTTTGATGCTGTGGCCGAAAGGGCTACTGGGATCCTTGGATGGGTCTACAGGGGAATGGTGAGTTGGAGCAAAGGAAGGGTTTTTCCTCTGCACCCAGCACTGGTGATAATGCCTCCATCTAGGTCTTTGTTACATATTGCAAAAAAAAAAAAATTGAAAACCAGCAGAGGGTGCAGAAAAGAAGGTGCATAGCAATTTATTGGTGGCTGGAGAAAATGCCAGAGAGAGAGAGACTCAAACAGCTCTTTCTAATCATAAGATTATCCAGTGGAGACTTGCACGAGGAGAAAACTGGGAGTATTAATGGGCTCTGTCATGTAGAGAAATGTAGAACAAGATCTAGTGTCTGAAAGTTGACATCAGACTAATTGTAGCTGCAGAGAAGGGCCAAAGGTCACTCATAAATAAAGAGAATTAAAAAAGAGCCAACAGGGTGAAATTGAATAGCCTTACCTATACAGCAGGACAGACTGAATGGTCCCATGGTCCCCTGAGCTCCCATGGTCCCATGGACCTCAACGTCTAAGAATCTATCTATAAAGAATGCACATTAGGCATTTGCAATTACTACATCACATAACAAAAGAAAGAAACTTTCAGTTACATTGAAAATTTGAACTTTTAACCTCGATTAGAGAAAAGCGTTTACAAAATCCATTTTTGGACTGTGGATCTCCTTGCCACAGACATTGTGGGAGCTAATAGCATAGGTGAATGGAGCTCATAAATGGAGGGGTCACGCTGAACACCTTTCAGGAAGGGTGTCTGACTCTGTGAATTAAAAGAACTAATTTGCCAGTTACTTATAAGTTTTCCAAAATGTAACCCTTGGGACTGAAATTTCTCACCTTCAATGTTAGCCTCCCCTGGACCATTTCAGGGATGACAGTCCATCTGACTGCTCACGTCAGGACAAGAGAGAAGATGATTTGCCCCCAGTGAGAAATTCTTAGAATTGTTTCCAAGAGGAGCCCTAGAACCAGAGTAGTCCTCGCCCTTATGCTGAAAATGTGGCTGTGTAGGTCATCTGAAAATATGGAACACCACTGAGTCTTAATGTCCACCCACACACCACTTCCTCCCCCCATAGTGTGGTTCTGCTTTCTCTGGGGAGGAGCTAGTTAATGTAACTCCCTTTTTCCTCCCCAGGTTACTTGGGAGCAGGTCACACTCATAGGTGTGCCTGGGCACCTGATTGTTTTAACATAAATGGAAATCCTGAGTACCCCAGTGGTGATGTTAGTTGGAGATTCCCTATCCACCCCCTTCTGCAGTCTCTCGTTCATAAAGAATATACAATGGTGGTGCCGCCATCTGGCTGGCCCTGTACAAACTTAGGCTGTGTCTAGACTGGCACACTTTTCCTCAAAATCACATGATTTTGCGGAAAAGCTTGCCAGCTGTCTACACTGGCCGCATGAATTTCTGCAAGAACACTGACAATCTCATGTAAGATCATCAGTGTTCTTGTGGAAATACTATGCTGCTCCCGTTCAGGCAAAAGTCTTTTTCAGAAAGACTTTTGCGCAAAAGGGCCAGTGTAGACAGCACAGTAGTGTTTTCTGCAAAAAAGCCCCGATCGCGAAAATGGCGGAAAAGTGCATCTAGATTGGCAACGGACGCTTTTTCGCAAAAAGTGCTTTTGCGGAAAAACATCCTGCCAATCTAGACGTGCTTTTCGGAAAATGCTTTTGACGGAAAACTTAACCATTAAAAGCATTTTCGGAAAATCATGCCAGTGTAGACGTAGCCTTACTAGTGTGCCTTGGGAGCCTCCAGGAATAAACTTATTCCAGAAATAACCTAGAACTAACTCCCGGATGACAATGATAAATTATAAACAATACACATCTAATTGATTACATTAGAATGAACACTCCTTTACTTCACAACTTAAAGAGACAGAGTTTAACAGATTAACAGTGACTAAAATCAATTAACAAAGTACACAGAAGTAATAGGAACTTATCTCTCTGGCATTTGCACTGACACCATTGATCCCACTCCAGAGGGCGCACGCCTATGGACTCAGAGTCCAGACACTTGATTGTGTGGGCGCGCTTGAAGGCCTGCAGCTGGAGTGAAGGTTCTGTGTAGGTTCTGTGTGTGTTAGTACAAGCTGAGCAGCCAGCTGTCAACTCCCTCTGCCACGTCATTAAATGCCAGCAGCTCTGATTCACTGGGTTGGGCCCTCTGCCTCTCTTTGGACCCAGAGTCAGTCTATTCTCTGAGCTCTGTCCCAGGCAGCACTTTCCCAAAGAGCCTGTTTAAATACAGCCTCCTCCTGTGTGCTGGTTTGTGTAGCCTTTCACAGCCATATGCACAGCCAGAGTCTCTCCCCTCTAGGGCAATCAGCAGCCTGCTAGATCCAAGCACTGCAGGCTCCCAGTCGCAGGTGGTAGCTGTACCACAACAGCTCCTGGCCTGGATAAGTCTCCTCCACAGCAGCCTGGCTCCTCTCTCCCCAAAATGGAGAG